TCCATATTTTTGAGTCTGGTTTACAATTGATGTGAATACAATACTCGATGATTCGTTGTTGCCCTATGTATCTGTTACTGTTGTGTGTATTTCCGTTGTCTCTTTCCTTATACCACTGTTTCATCACCCCTTCCCCCTCCCCCGCGCGCGCCTTTTCACAGACCGTCCAGCGACAGCCTATGACTCATTGGGAGTAGCGCTTGAGCGCAAGTCCTTCCCGAGGCTACACGCCGGTGGGCGGGTGAGTGGGCAGCGCATCAGACAATCAAAGTATGAGTCATCAGTTGTTCATCCGATAATCGTATGTGACAGTTCGGTACGTGTCACAAGTCATGATGTGCCTGTCGTGACTGTGAGGGTGTTGTGCTGTTGTGGTCTGTGGTAGATATGGTTGGCCGGCGTCGTGCAATTACGTGTATTGCTACGCAATAGAACTATAACAGGTGTATTACAATATAATCATATCCAGTTCAGTGCAATAGACTTATATCAAGTGTATTGCTCTACAATAGAACTATAACAGGTGTATTACAATACAATCACATCCAGTTCATTGCAATAGTCTTATATCAAGTGTATGGCAATACAATAGAACTACAACAGGTGTATTACAATACAATCACATCCAGTTCATTGCAATAGACATATCAAGTGTATTGCTCTACAATAGACCTGTGTGAACTGTATTGCTGTGTCATAGTAACATAGGCGATGCTGTAACCGTACTGATGCCATTTTAATTACGCCTGCCCGCTTTGCGCCTCAAGAGTTCTACCTACTTACCTACTCGTCAGTCATGGACAGTCTACATATGCTTGTCAGGCTATCTCTCACATTAGCTTGCCTCAAGAGTTCTACCTACTTACCTACTCGTCAGTCATGGACAGTCTACATCTGCTTGTCAGGCTGTCTCTCACATTCGCTTGCCTCAAGAGTACTACCTACTTACCTACTCGTCAGTCATGGGCAATCTACATATGCGTGTCAGGCTATCTCGCACATTCGCTTGCCTCAAGAGTTCTACCTACTTACCTACTCGTCAGTCATGGACAGTCTACTTATGCGTGTCAGCCTATCTCTCACATTCTCTCGCCTGAACACCGCAGTTGTCGGCGTCGGCTGGGTCGCCATGGCAACCAGCAGCGACGTCAGCAAACGTACAATGATAAGGATTGGCCGTACTGGGCGTATCAATGCGGCGGTGGCTTTGGTCTGGGCGCGCAATGTAGGTGCAGTGCACGCGCTTGTTCATGTGTAGATAGGTGGGTATGCGTTTATCTGTGTGTGTTTTTTAAATATGTAGATAGGTGGGCATGGTTATATGTATAAGGTGGCTGTGCATCAAAATGGGTGCAGGTACGGGTTGGTGTTGGTGATAGTGTACATATACATGGCTGTGTATGTGTCACGTATGGTATATTCATGGGTGTTCATGTATATCAAAACGGGAACAGTCTTTTGCCTATACGCTAATCAGTACTTTTGTTTTTCCGTTTTAACGTATACCCAATCCGTTAGACCACGCATCATCGTCACGCTCTGCTGTTCTCCCCGCACTGCTAAGTGATTCTCGGACGACCATATATATACTTATATATATATATATATATATATATATATATATATATATATATATACGTATATATATATATACATATATGTATATATATATGTATGTATGTATGTATGTATCTTCTAGAGGCGTAGTCATTCGTCGTCCTAGTGGATATGGTAGCAATGCCACCGTATTATACATATATCGGTTGTCTTGGCGTCCTCCTATTCGGGATCACCTCTGTACGCCAAAAGAACTATTACCCCATACCAAATAAATACATCGTGTATCTTTCTCCTTATATACCTACTTTCATCTTACTCCTTACACTATTACTTTCATCTTTCTCCTTATATACCTACTTGTATCTTTCTCCTTTATATACCTAATTCCATCTTTCTCCTTATACACCTACTTGTAGCTTTCTCCTGCATATACCTAATTCTATAATTCTCCTTCATATACCTACTTCTATCTTTCTCCTCTATATACCTACTTCTATCTTTCTCCTTGACATCCCCAGTCATCTGCGACTCGGATGCCCACGAGTCGTTTGTGGTACTAGAGCTCGGAGGGGGTGGGGGTAGTGGGGCTGATTTCAGACGTGACCATTCGATTAAGACCAGCGGCGGCGGTGGCGGTGGTGGTGTGCAGCTGTATGACTGGGGGGACTGTCCTGAATCATTGGTAGGTAAATGTGTTCAACCCCTAAACCCCAGTGTAATATGCCGGTGTTTTGAAACCATAAAACCCAAAAACTCTAAAACCCAGTGTACTGTGCCGGTGTTTTGAAACCATAAAACCCTAAAACTCTAAAACCCAGTGTACTGTGTCGGTGTTTTGAAACCATAAAACCCTAAAACTCTAAAACCCAGTGTACTGTGCCGGTGTTTTGAAACCCTAAAACTCTAAAACCCAGTGTACTGTGCCTGTGTTTCAAAACCCTAAACCCTAATACCCAACTGCGATGGACTAACTTCCAGAGAGATCTGATTTGTGAGAGTATTGTGATCCATTGAGTATATATTCTTTAGTTTCTAGTGATTGGGGTTCGTGTCCTTGTGCGAGTACATATGTACGCCATTCAGTGCACGTATATATATATATAATATTCACCTTTACATCATCCAGTGCTCTACAAGAACGACTACGATACACACGGCCCGGCGTATATACCACTATGAATATAGTATAATCCCACCAGGGTTTGATTTATTCTATTTATATCTCCGAAAAACTATTGGCCCGCAGTATGAGAGGACTCAGTGCGAACATGTGCACCGCACCAGTATAGGGGGAGGGTCTGGAGGCTCATACAGCCACAGGGACAACGTCTACCACACACGCGCAACCTGTGACGCAGACGCAGTGGATTATAGGGGGTGGAAAAAAGGTATGCGTGTGAAGGGGGGTGTCACAGATTGCTTGTTGATGTCCTCCGGTATGGGGTTGAGATGTCGTACATCGTACAAGGAGTTCGAGATACTGGCTCGTTTTATATGCATCGATTTAGTCAGAGTAAATGCCCAGGGCGTTGGTGTCAACAGAAGTTAATGCGTTGAAGATTGAGTGAATAGCCTTACTGTGGACACGTGCTATAGTGTTGTGCATTGAGTGAGTGGAGAATAGATTAAGTGTATAACCGAACTGTCAATACGTGATATGTTATACGTTGTGTGTGCTCACGCTTGAAGCATAGCAGATCAATAGTTAATTATTTATATATATGTATATATATATATAAACATGTGCGTGTGTGAAAATACACTGATACACATATGACTCTACTTATATGCTTATGTACACATATGAATACGTATTCTATGTATGCATGGGTGTGTGCGTCTTTCCGTAGCTAACCAGAACTAAAAAAACAGATGTACACGTGTACCATAATTTATTGAGAAAAAACCTTTTACACTTTCCTGCGCAGCCGTACGAGTCCCAATGGTGTTTATGGCACAAGCTAATACAGGTGATTGTACATATCGGTTCAAAGTAAGGACTACGGTCTGCGATATGAAGGCGCATTCCATTCCCCATTTCTGCGCTATGCAAGTATATATATGTATGATACACACATACATACACAAACACGCGCACAATCACATGCACACCCACACACCCGCACACCCACACAAACACAAACACACACACAAACCCACACACATATATATATATATGTGTGTGTGTGTGTGTGTATACATGTCTATTCATATATATTTATATCTATACATATATTTATAGTTATATGTATATATATATATATTCTTTTATCAGCGTTCGATAGGATCAGCGATTTATTGAGAGACAAGTCAAGGTGTCCGCGATTGCGCATATCAGGTGGTGGTGGCGGCGGCGGCGGCGGACAGTTAACACAGCTATCGAGACTGGTATGTGCACTTGAACTTGTTCACTTGTTAGTCATGCCTACTACTTTAGTACAATTATATACACCTTGCTACCCTGGAGAAGGCTCGTACATACACTGTGTTACCTTGGGGAAAGGATATATGTATGGTCTTACTCGCGATATAAGACTTGCACATATGCCCAATTCTCCACATATATTTCAGTGAGTACTGCCGTTTATATATATATATGTGTGTGTGTGTGTGTGTGTGTGTGTAATGTATGTATATATGTATATATGTATATGTATATATATGTACATGCATATGTATATATATGTATATGTATATATATGTATATGTATGTATATGTATATATATGTTTGTGTGTGTGTGTGTGCACTCCTCATTGTAAGAGGTTATATCCATCTAGCGTGCCCTGCCATACTCAATATCTGTCTTCGGTTGCAGGTTCCATTTGGCTACGGATATGGATTCTCATTCAACGCGTACTTCAAACATCCCCCGTGACGAGGCTCTGATCGCTGTATTAGACACAAACACAACATACCTGAAGATACCTACACGCTACCTTAAATAGGTGTGTAGGTACATCTCCGTACCTACAACCACTGTCCATATGCCTGGCTACAGTCTCAACCACGGCCAATCACGTGTTCACAAAGCCGCATTGCCTTACCATCCATGTATGTCCTACCACTCACAGGAAGTGGTAGTACGAAGGTTAAAGTTAGGAGACCCCATCGCATGTTCTGCCTTACACCTGCCGTACTCATGCACGTCACTCCAGTAAACCCTCCTCTGTAGTCACGAGGTTTAGCACAAACGCGTGTTGCTTCCTGTCAGCACTAGACTGAAACGGAGCCCACCACACTCGTGGCAAGGCATGCGCATAATAGTCCTATCACGTGCGCAAACAAACGTGTTGACGGTTGGGTTGTTTGCCTCATAGTCCTATCACGTGCGCAAACAAACGTGTTGAAAATTGGGTTGTTTGCCTCATAGTCCTATCACATGCGCAAATTGAGGGTTGGGCTGTTTGCCTCATAGTCCTATCACGTGCGCAAACAAAC